ATAAGTGTGAAAACAACAATCACAGAAATCTTGCTCCTCAGTCATCTACAAGATTCTTATTCTTGAAATTCTTGACAAGTTCACTATTTATCTCCCAGAAATACTTATACCTGTAACACTGAGTTTTGACCTGGAGATACAGTCAACAGGGTTAGTCAATGCAGCACAACAAAGAACACTATGTGATAGTCATAGTCCTCACCAAGGCATTAGAGAAAATATTGGGGTTGCGGGTACCAGAAAAAGCTGCTGAATGTTATCCCTTTTAATAAAGAATGAAAGCTTTTGTTATATCTAGGCATGAAAAATCAAATTATATTCTACTTTTCAATGGGACAAGAGACAAAACAAACATGTATCCTTGCTGCTCTTATTTTTGCTTTTTAGCTTTCAGTTATGTTTGAAGAGGCTTTCTTTTTTATCCTTATTTCTGAAGGTGTATATATTGAATTCAAAACAATAGAATGTCTGTACAATTAAAAAACATTCTAATCTCAAAATCAAACAGTTCATTTGGTATCATTTTGCTGATCATTGTGTTCTTGTAACTCACCTTTCCCAAGACCAAAAAAAAAAAAAACAAAGACTATCTGATGTTGTTGTTGATGATGATCTACATTAAAAAGACAGTTTCTTAACCGGCCAAAATGTGATTATTACCCATCCCCACATCAAGCCAATTTTCATTGATTGCAAAGCATTGAATAACAGTTGAGGTTTTCACCTATCACATTTCTATTGTCTCTGAAGACGCAAAGATAAGAATTAAAAAATTATAATGGACTGGAAAATTCAGTCTAGAATAAACAAGCAGCAAGAACGTCCACCCACCAGCAAATGCAAGAATTAGCAGCAGCAATTGGCGCTCCACATTTTATTCATCGAGGGAAAAAGAAATATATTGGCCAGTAAAGAAACTGTCTTTTTAATTAGGTGAAATATTATAAAAATGAAAAAAAAAATGTAAAAAGGTAAAGTGAAGTTCTTATTGAAACTAAGACTTTAAAATGAACACCAGGAGAATAAACAGCTTGGAGTTTGCTATCATACATGCTGCACTAAGTTGAAAAAAAAAAAAAAAGAAGTAGCATTTCTATGGGAATGAATGATACAGTACTGATCTGGAATTATGATTTGCATTTTTATTTTAGTCATTTTTTTCATGTGAATTAATTATAATTTCAACCAGTAAGTCGTAGATAAAGTCTGACTAAAAACTCTCTGAAGAAATAAACAAAAAAAAAATTCTTCTTAACACACAATTTTACAATGGAAATCTAACAGGAAAAAATTGTTTTTATCACAATCGTATTACTTTCTTCAGTTTTCTCTCTGAGGCAACAACTTTATTTTCGTGTAGCTTTTTAAATCATGAGTTAGCAGAACTAGCTTTGATTTTTTCTTATAAAAAATAATAAAGTTTTACTTTTGTGAAAATCTTAAAACATTTTAGGGCACAAGGCAAAATTGGGTAAAATGAAAGACTGAAGATGATTGTTTTGCGTCTTTTATTCAGCCAGAAAAGGTTTGCCTCCCTGATAAAAAGAAAATCAGCATGCGAAGCATTGAATTTTACTTGAACTTGAACACCGATCACTGGCGTTGTTGAAAAATATACAATTAGCTGAGCCACCGTGGAGAATTCAGGAAATCTTTCCTCGTCTAAAATTAATTTGGCCTACAAAAAATCAGATTAGCATGTTTTGTTTTTTTTTTTCTCCCATCCCCCAATCTATTTTAAACGAATAACAAGGTGTGTCCAACAGTTGTCAGTACGATCCACTCTAATAATGAAATGGAATTTAGGTAAAAATGGCAGCGGTAAAAATGGCAGGGTAAAAATGGCAACGGTAAAAATGGCAAAAGTGGATAAATAGGTAAAAATGGCAAAAATGGATAAAAATGAAAAAAAAATGGCAAAAAGGAAAAAAATATAGATGAATATCTCACAATGAGTTTATTAAAATCTTGGATACAATACATAATGGAAAAACATGAGAAGTTTGTCAAATTAAAAAGAATATGCAGCTAAAGCTCCCCACTCCCATGAGATTTTACTTTTTAGGCGATTACGTATGAACACAGTGAAGAACTTGGACAAAAAACAATTATAGGTCCACTTAATGACGGCTTCCGGTATTGAAATCAGAAACCGACATTAAGCGGTGATTATCGAAAAACAGTTCCACATCAGTTTTATACATTTAGAGTGTTTTTTTTTTAATTTCACTAGTTTGAACACGTGGGAATCAGTAATGCAGTCGAATAAAAAAACAATATATTGGATACATTATTATGATGACGTTTAATATATTTAAATTTTATTACATTTCTATTTATAAAAAAAAAAACTATTAGACTATTTAAAAAATAGAATAGTATTTAAAAAAGTTTTCAATATAAAATATTTAAAAAGTATTTTCACACAAAAAAAAAACATTACAATTATAAAAATAATAAATAAACTATTTAAAAAATATTTTCAAAGAAAACATTCCTATTATAAAAAAGTTTTTATTTGATTATTTGTAAAAAAAAACATTCCAATTAAAAAAATATGTTTTATTTGAATGGGATTCTAACCTTCATTTTTGAGATTTTTTTTTTTCTCCGATTCCGATTAATCGTCCCAACACAAATACACTTATTATATATATACATATATATATACATAATATATATATTTTATATATATATATATATATATATATATATATATATATATATATACACACTAATACATTTTTATATAAATATATATATATATATATATATATATATATATATATATATATTACACTTATTTTATATATATATATATATATATATATATATACACACAATACACTATATATTATATATATATATTATTTTATATATATATATATATATATATATATATATATATATACACACACACACTAATACATATATATACACTAATACACTTATTTTATATATATATATATATATATAAATATATATATATATATATATATATATATATATACACACACACACAATACATAAATTTATATACACTAATACACTTATTTTATATATATATATATATATATATATACACACACAAATATACTTATATATACACTAATACACTTATTTTATATATATATATATATATATATATATATATATATATATACACACACACTAATACATTATATATATTCTAATACATTTATTTTATATATATATATATATATATATATTCACACACTAATACACTTATATATACACTAAAACACACATTTTATATATATATATATATATATATAAATATATATATATATATACACACACACAATACACTTATATATATAATACACTTATATTATAATATATATATATATATATATATATATATATATAATATATATACATACACATAAATCTAATCCTAATGTCAGCTATCAATTATAAAATTAATCATGGACAAATTCACTTAAACATGCTCCGATTTGTGCTTTTACTGCAATTAGGAGGAGAACCTAGCGCCCCCAACCAATAAAACTTCTAAAAAATCACATCGAAAATTTTAAAAAAATGTTTTTAATACTAAAAAACAACTTAGCCCTATTTAAAAAAAAAGAGGATAAGGAGCCTAGCTCCACCCCCACTAGAGTAAATATCTATTTAAAAAATATTTATTTTTAAAATATTGAAATGGGGGCTTGACCTGAATTAAAACTAGAGGGATGGGAATAATAGACCCATCCTTCTCGAACGGTCATAATTTTCTGTTGTCGAATTGCCATTTTTTCCTATTTATCCACTTTTTTCCATTTTTTTTGTTTTTTTTTTTTTTCCGCTGCCATTTTTATTTAGAATACCAATGAAATGACCAAACAGAATAAATTGCTATTTTGAAAGAGACGAGAACTTTTTAGTATTCCTGACGTTCTTTTCAGATTCATTTCATTAATTTGATTTAATCATCCGCAAATATTTAATTATAAATAATTGAATTGTTCTCTAAATGTTCCCTTGCCTTTTATATTGCCTCCCTATACTCACTCCTGTAGGTTTTTGTAAAAATTAATTTTAAAATACTTTCTAAAATCTATTTTTGAATTAAATTTTAAAATAATTTATTTTTTTTTCTGTCACATAATATTATATATCTTTTTAAAAAATATGATTTTATTTAAAATTCAATGTTTAAATTTAAAAAGAAGCCTTGATCAACTGTCATTTATCAGAACCGCACATACGCATTTCATTTTTCTTAAAATACGATATGCACTCATGATGCATTTAAGGTAATAATTGTTACTATTAAAAATGGGGCTGTTTGTATCTTTTTTTTAATATCAATTTTTAAAACAAAAAATCTATCGCCAGGTGTAAAGTCTACGTTGGTTACGAGTGAGACTCAAAAAAAAAAAAATTATGTAAAATTCAATAATTTTTATTAATTGTTATTTAGTTTTAGTGCGTGAAGAAACGTTTACTTTTTTTTAACTAAACTTCATTACGGCTCAAAAAATATATAGGCTTGTTTTAGGTTTCTAAATTTAGAAACTTTTAGCATTAATAAATTGACCAAGAAAACTAACGATCGATTTCATTGCACTGGTAAAATCTGGTTGAACTTTTGTTCTCTGACAAAAACCGGTATCTGCTACATAATCGTCATCATATATCACATTACCATGTGACATCTAGTTAGAGATGTCGCTTATGCCTACAAAAAGATTTTATTTTGAATTGAAATTTGATTTTTCTTTTAATTGAAACTTATGTAAGGAGTGAAAACAGATGAAAATAAAATGCAATAATTACGGCATATAAACTCGGGCTAAGTTGTCTCCAGGATTTTTAAGTAAAAATTAAATAAGGTTTTTAAATGGTTTAAAAATGAATGAATGCGAATTAGTCGACTCCAAATAATTCGTGAATTAACATTTTTACACTAAAAAAAAGATGTAAGTGAGAGTAAAAAATTTAATCAAACTTGTTAATCTAATAGAAAATATTACCTGCTGCAAATCTTCGTCCAAAAATATTGTCCCTTCGGTGTTTACTACTAAGCAGACAGTCTAAACCAATTTTGGAGTTGGCCACCTCCCTGATACACATTGTACATTCCATCCGAAGGACCATATCACTCAGGTGAGGACTTTGCACCTCGGTTAATTGCCGAAGGCATTGAAATAATAAGCCAAGTCCATCAAAAAATAAAAATTCTTTTTCCAGTCAAAATCACTAATTTTTATGGCATCGGCATAAATTTCCCAAATTTCTGGACGGTCAAATGAAAGCAATCCACCAAAGAAATATAGTTGCATCACTTTCCTCTGGTTTTTCCAAGTTACCTGTTCCATGGCCATCTTCTTCTTCGTCAGAAGCACTTAAAGCCTGGCCCAATACAAAGCCATCCGATCGGGCACGTTTCGCTCGATCTTTTTTGCGTTTTGCGAAACGGCTCGCTTTTTTATGAGATCTCATTTGTACGTGTTCTTCACTCATTTTGCGTCTCTACGTAAATTACTATTGTTGTGCTTCTTTTCAGCTAAAAATATTCCTGGCATAAGTTTATTTCGTTATTTGCATACGTCGTGATTCGAACGATCATCGTTTGATACAAAATGGAGAGACAGTACTTTTATAATTTTTGCCTCTGGAATATTTCGGCGCAACTTCAAAGTTATAGTCTTCTTCTCGGTCGTTCGGTAACGCTACTAACTTCCATGTTAAGTGACTAACAGCAACACACTAAAACTAAGAACGCTTTCTCGGCTTTAGTACATTTAGGAGTATGAGTAAGAATGGTAAGTAAATGTGTCTCTGTTTTTTAGCAATTTCCTTCTTCTCTCTCTTTTTCTTGACGTTGTTAAGAATCAGTAAAGGGAGAGATAAAGAGGTGTTTATAAATAGTCGGCAGTGAGTTGTCCTTCAATCTCGGCAATAGAAATACCCTCTCTTCTGTCTCTCCCGTAAGCATCAGCCAATGTAGTCAAAAATGAGTGACGGGCACCCTCATCAACTAACCGAGCCGAGAAATTTATATTTATTTCTTCACAAGTCTTTAAAACATATACATACACATACGTTAATCGAAAGAATGTTGACTATTTAAGAAAAAAATTAAGTGAATTTATAAATGCATTATTTGGTTTTAAAGTTTTACAACATTTTTCTTTCATATCTCTTGGTCTTTTTTCGTGAAGACTGTGTACACATTTTTCTTCAAACATACAAACTTTTGACTTTTTTTTTCGTGTTTCAAACACTTCTTTCCCCCCTACGCAACGGGAAAATAACTTTTTGCCGTCAAGTGGGTGTTTCTGTTTAGTTTGTTTAGTTTATCCTACCGAAAATTTCTAGGAGAAACTGAACATCGAGTAAAAACGGTTCTAGATGATAAAACAAAGTGCAGCAAGATGATGTTATTGTTAATTCATTATCAATAATCATCATTCAAATTTTTTAAGGGGGGAAAAGGGGTATTTGAGGTGAAATAAATTTAAAAAAAAAAAAAAAAGATGAAAAAAAAATTAGTGGCAAAAAAAAAAAACGGGGGGAAACAAGATTTTGAAATATAGAAATCTAAAGAAAGGACGAAGAATAAAACAAAAATTTATTATTTTGATGTTAAATTTCTTGGATTTTTGATAAAAAAAATTTAAAGATGCAAAAAAAAGAATTTCATTTTATTTGACGACGTTCCGAAAAAAAGTAAAATAAAATAAATAAAATCCCAAAGAAAAAAGTATTAAAGAAAACTGTGAACAGAAACAACTTTTCAAAACAATGTTTTGTTTTTTTTTTTTTTTTATAAAACGAAAAAAACAAAAGTAAGATAAACCGAACCAATAAAATATTGGAAATTTAGACTTAGGACGAAAAAGTGGGTCTATACAGACAGCAAAAATTCATAATGGAAAAAATTTTTAAGCTTTTTACAGAATTAAGTTAAATAATAATTTACGTTCATCAGAATAAATATAAATAGTCGGTGATTTAAAGAATGCCGCTAAAGATAAGATATAAATAGAAAAGAAAAACTCTAAAAATTGAAACAAAAAACGATGGTGAATAATTTGACGTGAATCAATATATTGGAATAAAATAATTGTTCATTAATTATTTTTCATTTCTATTTCATTCTTAAGTGACTGGAATATTGAATGGTTATACAAAAGTACTACCACAGAAAACGTGATACTAAGGTTTAAAATTAATTTTTGAAAATGAAAAATCTTTCTTGAATCTTTTATTTTAGTCTTAATTTCAAGCGAATAGATTAAATTTAATATTTTCAATAAACAAAATATTTGCTGTATTTCAAAACTAATTTAAATTGATTGGAATTTTTTTTTTTTTTAAAATAATTGATTAGCTTTTTTTTTTTTAAATTGTCATTCATCAATGTAAATTCTTTTTATTTTTAAAATCTTCCAAAAATAAAATATAATTTTCTGAAACTTTATTTGAGGAATATTAGCTGATTTAAAAGTTTAATTAATCTGATTTGAAACAAATATTATTTACTTCAATTTTAAAATATCACAGAAATGCATTTTTTTTAGAGAGGTAGCTGTTTATTTAAGGTTTTGACAGCTTTTGATATGATTTGATGATTATTTATAATGTTGTTCTATGGTGCTTTTATCTTTAAAAAAATAATTGAAGAAAATAAAATGAGCGCATTTTTTTTATAATTTTTAAGTATAGTAATCTTAAAAATTTAAGAAAATATTCTCTGTAATCTAATGTTTTATTGAATTTTAGAAAATTTTGACTTTAAATTTACTATAGTTATCGCTCTTATTTTAATGATAATGTCGTGTATGGACATCCGTATTAAAAAAAAATGGGCACGTTTATACACATAAAAAAAAAAAAATTCAAAATTCTTTTTTTAAATATTGGTGTTTGATGATTTGTACTAAACTTTTCCATTATGATTAGAAAATATAGTTTTTACTTAATAATAATATCATCTAAAAGGATGAAATTAATACAAATTTTAAAAAGATTTAAAACTTTTATAAATTATTCTAATTAAAATTTTAAAAAATGAAAAAAACAATTCTTGTAAAAATTCATTATTCATCGAAAAAATTTTTTTTAAGACAATATTGTCCTTAATATATTTTATTTTATAAAAAATTAAAAGCTTTTCTAATTAAATAATGTCTTAGTTTTATTGCATTTTTTTTTTTACAATTCAGAGCAGATTTTCGGTAAATGGTGTTTTGTTTTTTTTTAAAAAAATTGATGATTTAAATTCTCCAAGGAGTTCTGCTTTTAACTAATATAAATATTAAGAGAGCTACAAAATTTAATTTCTCAAAAATTCATAAATTTAAGGTAACATATGTTAAAAATATATATTTTTACCAAGATTTTCTAAGAAAAAGTTTAAAAAATAATTTCATTCATTTGTGAATAACTCCTGGAAATTTAAGTAAAATCCGACAATTGTTTGATTTTTACAAGAATTTAAAACAAAGCTAAATTGCCCATAAAAAATCTTTTTCCTTTACTCATTTGACGCAAGAAATACAAATTTTTAACCCAAATCTCGAACGTACTAGAATTGGATTAAAAACTTTAATAAAATAAAAAAAATACCTTGGTCTTTCCTCTTGATAATAACAAATATTTTGATGATAAATACATATCTGTAAAAGAGTTTTCATTGAATTCTGAAGCTTTCGTATTGATTTCAGTGCTGTGTTTGTTAAGTTTTCTTTTGTTGTCATGTGAAATGTTTTAAAAGGTTTTTTTATAGTTGTTACAGTCATGATAATCCCTCAAGAGTTATGCCCCTTGCATTAGGGTTCAGTGTAGACAGAATAAAAAAAGTGGCTGAACAAGCTCTATCGTATTAAAAGTGTGTCCTGTCTTCATTAAATACTATTGCATGGTGGCAGTGGTAAAATGAAAATATTCTCAGCAGAAAAATAATACACTACCGGACAATAACAACCAAGAAAAGGTTATGCCAAGAAAATAGACCTATGACCCCTTTTTAAGCTTTATGAGTGAAAGAAGTAAAAAACTGCTACCTCAGGCTATTTGCAAAAATTAAAAAAAAAAATTAATGATTTTTGTATATTTTAAGAAACAGGGGTAACGTTTTTTGCATTCATTTCGGAAAGAAAACATCACTTTTGGCGGTACCTAAAAGAAAAAACAACAACAAAAAGAAAAACCTGTTTTTAAAAATCAGGAAATTATCAAATTTCACTGAAACTTTCAGTATTTATTCATTGATTAATGGATTGTACACAAAGCTATCTGTCGTAATCACTGACATGTTCATCTTCATCGGAGGATGATGTTCATGAATCCACAGCAACCATTATTTCAAAGTTCCGTTCGACGTTAGATAATTCGAAGGCATCTGGGAATATTTTAGGGTAGGTGGACTTTGATTCCAGTACGAATTATCCTTGTTGTTCGGTACACGAAGAATGTTCAGAAATTATAGTTTGGAAGTTGTGGTGAACGTTGGAAGCCTTAGGTCCCGCTGAGGTAACTTGATGTTTATATATAAAGGGGCAATTCCATTCGATATTTTTCCATGCCAAGTCATTCATGCATTTAACAATTTTGGTATCTTTCATATGTTGGAAAATGTCCACTCCCAGAATGCCTTGAACGTTTATTTGATTACTATTACTATTTTGAGAAAAGGCTAATTTGTAATTTAATCTGGTCAAATTCGTTATCTGAAATCATTGAACTTGATCAATTTTATCGTCCAACAAAACGGGAATGGGGAGTGGTCTCCCTTTGCCTATATTTACCTCTAAAATGACTTGGTATAATTTTTTTTATTGGAATCACATGTATAAGTTTTTACTTGGTAATCGCCAGGACTTGGATTCCAGTCAGGATATTTTAACTTTAACTCTAACCCTAATATTCCTTTAGAGAAATACGATCGCATGCTACCTGTATCCAATAAGCAGTTTATAGAGACTTTCTTATGGCCCCAATATAATGTGAGGCAGTATTAAATAGTTTCTTCATTTATTGGTGCCTAAGTAAAAACGATATCCCCTTCTTTCGATTATCGCATGGTGGCGTTATATGCCCCTTAGATGAACGTTGTTTACAGAGAA